GGATGGCCGGGTGGGAAGGCAGGCGGGATGGAGGAGACCGAGGGACTCCTTGGGTGCTGATCGGAGGCGTCTGCGGGCGCGATCTCGACGCTGATCTCCAGGCTGCTCCTTCTGCATTCGTTCCGTCTGGCTCACGTCTGCTGTCTCGTTGTTAAAGGCACTTCTGTCTCTCAGAATCCCCGAATCCCAGCATGGTGGGGTTGGCAGGGACCTCTGGGGTCACCCAGCCCAACCCCCTGCCCAAGCAGGGTCACCCAGAGCAGGCTGCAGAGGACCTTGTCCAGGCGGGTCTGGAACATCTCCAGAGAAGGAGACTCCACAGCCTCCCTGGGCAGCCTGGGCCAGGGCTCCGTCACCCTCAGAGGGAAGAAGTTCTTCCTCATGTTCAGATGGAGCTTCCTCTGCTTCAGTTTGTTCCCTCTTACTCACGGGCTTTAGGTGCCTTTGTGAGGTGAGCAGGAACCGTCCTTGGTCAGGACCTGTTTCTGCTTGGCGTCGTGCAGACGGGGTGGATTTTTGAGGCAGACCGTGTTGGCAGTGCAGGGTTTAGAAGAGCGACGCTGGGGAGGGGGCTGGAGAAGAAGTCCCATGAGGAGCAGCTGAAGGAGCTGGGGCTGCTCAGTCTGGAGAAGAGGAGACTGAGGGGAGACCTTCTCGCTCTCTCCAGCTCCCTGACAGGAGGGTGTGAGGAGGTGGGTGTTGGTCTCTTCTCCCCAGTAACCAGCGATGGGACAATTTTGGTCAGGCATTGGACCAGGCTGCCTAGAGAGGTGGTTGAGTCCCCATCCCTAGAAGGGTTTAAAAAACAAGTAGATGTGGCCCTTGGGGACATGGTTTAGTGGGCATGGTGGTGTTGGGGTGATGGTTGGACTTGATGATCTTAGAGGTCTTTTCCAACCCATGATTCTATGATGAGAAGTGGTGGCCTCAAGCTACGTCAGGGGAGGTTCAGATTGGAGATTGGGAACAATTTCTTCACTGGAAGAGTGGTCAGGGCTTGGCCCAGGCTGCCCAGGGCAGTGGGGGAGTCCCCATCCCTGGAGGGGTTCAAACACCGCGTGGATGTGGCCCTTGGGGACATGGTTGAGCCGGTGTGGTAGGGTTGGGTTGGTGGTTGGACTTGATGGTCTTGGAGCCGGTTTTGTAGGGTTGGGTTGGTGGTGGGACTTGATGGTCTTGGAGTTCTTTCCCAACCTTAATGATTCTGTGATTCTATCTCCCTGCCATCCCCCTCTCCCTGCCATCACCTTCTCCTCCTGCCATCCCCACCTCTCAATGCCATCCCCATCTCCTCCTGCCAGAGGAGAAAAGACCAAGAGGCAATGGCCTCAAGGTGTGTCAGGGGAGGTTCAGATTGGATATCAGGAAAAATTTCTTCACAGAAAGAGTGGTCAGGCCTTGGGCCAGGCTGCCCAGGGCAGTGGTGGAGTCCCCATCCCTGGAGGGGTTCAAAAACCGTGTGGATGTGGCACTTAGGGACATGGTTTAGCAGTGGTGTGGCGTTGGCGGTTGGACTTGATCTTAGAGGTCTTTTCCAACCTTAATGATTCTGTGATAACACAACGCCCACTGTCAAGCCAGCGATCCTCAGAGTTGGTTTTCTCAGACACAAGAACAAGCTTGTAAGCGTTTTCCTGGTGCACGGAGCAGGCTGTCCTCTCCTGACAGGAAGCCTTTCCCCTTACGAGAAGCACTTTTCTCTAGAATAGATGCTAAGTTTAAATTGGGTATAAATTTTAGAAAAATAATATTTATTTCTGTAGGAATACAGGACTGAAAGAGACTTTCTAGGTCATCCCATCCCTCCCCCTGCCACCACGAGCAATATATCATAAAATCCTGAGATCTTAACCAGGTAGAAATCCTTAGATTTTTATCAGGCTCAGTTGTAAAGGCAAATAATAGCCTTGCCTTGATGAATTCTGTGCACAGGTCATTTCAAATTCAACTTTCTTTGATTAAGTAAGTTTAAAACTAGCTCTTTTTTCTAACTTCCAGCTTAAATTTATTCTTAGCTGATTCAGCATTTGGTTTTGACTAAGTGGTATCTTTCTGCTCACACAAAGCCACCTCAACACTCACCTACTGATCTATTTTCCAATACTAAACCTTAATCTTGTAGTTGCATATTTGCACGCTGTTGTCTGGAATGATACAACCAGAACCATTCTGCCACGGGCTCTTTTTTCCTCTTACCAAATTTCTTAACCCGTGCTTACAGGAAAAACTTGAGCGAGCTGGATGAGGTTCAAAGATACTTCAGTCAGAAGCTGACCGGGTCTTTTCCTGACTTCGGTTACGGTAACGCATCCCAACCAAGTCACGGGGAGCCGGAGAGTGATCGTCGGGGCTTGATGAGCAGAGAAGCGGATCCCAGCAGATGCCATCTTTTGGAAAAATCTAGTCAGTTGGTGTCTCGGGTCAGCAGCCTGATCAATGGTGAGTTGTCGCTTGGTTTGGGTTTTTTGGTCAGAAGCTGCCTTAAAGTGTCTTCAAATTGCTTAGGGAATCGGGACCCGTTCCTGGTGCTGGTAGTCAGCACGTGTTGGTCTTTTGGGACTTTGAAACTCCCACCGTTAGCGGCAGCGTTGAACTTAAAGGTTCAGAAGGCGGCTCAGGTGGGAGTTAAGGCCCTCCCAAGATATTCCAAATTCTACTTAACTGGCAGTGTGTGTTCAGCAGAAAAAGGGAGGTCCTGCAGAAAAGCAGCGTAACGGCACTCACCTGAGTCTGTGGTTCTTTGCTGATAGGAATGGATAGAAACCTGGACAGGCTGGAGAGTTGGGCAGAGAGGAACCTGATGAAGTTCAACAAGGGCAAGGGCAGGGTCCTGCACCTGGGGAGGAACAACCCCAGGCACCAGTACAGGCTGGGGCTGACCTGCTGGAGAGCAGCTTTGGGGAGAGGGGCTAGGAGTGCTGGGGGACGACAGGGTGACCATGAGCCAGCAGCGTGCCCTGGGTGCCAAGAAATGGGATCCTGGGGTGCATTCAGAGGAGTGTGGGCAGCAGGTCGAGGGAGGTTCTCCTTCCCCTCTACTCTGCCCTGGTGAGACCCCGTCTGCAGTGCTGTGTCCAGTGCTGGGCTCCCCAGTTCAATAAAGATGAGGAGCTACTGGAGAGAGTCCAGCGGAGGGCTACGAGGATGAGGAGGGGACTGGAGCATCTCTCCTACAAGGAGAGGCTGAGGAAGCTGGGCTTGTTCAGCCTGGGGAAGAGAAGGCTGAGAGGGGACCTTAGAAATGCCCATAAATCTCTTCAGGGTGGGTGTCAGGAGGATGGGGCCAGACTCTTTCCAGTGGTGCCCAGCGACAGGACAAGGGGCAATGGGCACAAACTGAAGCCGAGGAAGCTCCAGCTGAAGA